ACGAATCAAGAATGTCCCTACACATTTTCAAGTGAAAATCTCAAGAACTCTTGAAGATGTAGCCGATTTATTGTGTCAGCATCAAGTGGCGGCAATAGTGATTATCAAACTTTAATCGCATTTCTCTCGAAGAAGTGTTTTTACGAATGTCGGGCACGATAACTCAAAAACTAATAATCCAATCGGTTCCAAATTTTGACACGTTTCTCTGGGAGTGTATAGCTATCGTATGAAATAGGATAAAACCAATCGGTGAATAATTTCTTTATTTTTTAAATTAGTTTGTGGTCAAAAATAGCCGAAATTTTAGACCGTTAGTTTTGATCAATATGATTTACTTTATTATGTACTACTTACGACTCAGCGAAAAATTACAAAAGTAATAAAAATATTTGTATTTAGAACGTATTCTCTCGTAAAAATTAATTTGAAACCGAAACCAAACATTTGTTTTGCGGTTTGTTTATTACAGCAAAAACAATATAATAAATCGAGAAAAGTTATAATTATTTGAAGGTAAAGTAACAGAAGTTGGTAGAGTATAGAATTGTTGATTAATTTAGTCATGTCTAGGTTTTAAGAAAGCTAAAGATCTTTTTGGAGTATATTCTGAAGAAGAATGCTAGAGTATAAATTTCATATTTGCCAAACAATCGTTGTCCTCTGCTACTTAGCGAGGGACGTATACAGAGTATATGTTTCAATTGTTTCCACCTCATCCTCACATAAACGGCAATAATCCACTTCATTAATGTCCCATTTGGAAGTGAGTGATTTAATTCTGCAGTAAGCTGTTATGATCTCCACAGTGATTCAGATCTCTCTTACTTTGAAACAGCATCGAATTAGTCCTACGACGTGAGAACTCAGGCCAGATAGTTTTTGAAGTTCTGCACCTATCCACCTGATGCTTTGGGTCGTACGGATCCCTAAATCGGTAGATGGGCTAACTGCGGACACACTCGAGCAAGCTCGTAAGCTATTTCATTCCCATCTTTGTCACTATGTCGTTGAACCAAACAAAAAAAAAATAAACTTCAACCCTTCATATAAGACGAATATATGAAAACCAAATGGGTTTATTTTCAAAATTGGAACACCATATCGCCGTATGAAGTTATCCCGAAATAAATTAATGTGGTTTGAATCAATATCCAATGGATACTGATGTGGTTAATAAACTTAAACGGTTCGCAGTGGTAATCTTAACGATATATATTTAATAAAAAGTCCCCAAAAAAACTTTGTCTTTGTTGTCTAATCTCAATGAGAATGGCTACATATAATGCATTTATGCTAAATATTAACCGATACGATCCATTTAAAATTTGTGGTCCTGATTAAGAACAAATTTTGCTACCTAATTAGATTACCTACCGAAGTTCTTTTTATTATCCTTTTGTAACATTTCAAAAAGAATAAGCAATTGAAACGATTGTTATGCTGATTACAATTGAATTTTGGGGTCCTAGTACGATGTACGATATAGATTTCAAAACGATCCACAATTCGAAATAAATTCTATTATCGGTTGGACACTTTCATTTTTGTATGATAATACAACAATACAGCTATAAGTTATTTGCACTTTTTAAAATAAATGTTAATTGGATTCCTGCATTCGCCGATGAATCCCCTCAATTTCGCTTGTTATAAATAGCTGGCAACACGATGATGTCAAACAGTAGTAGAAAGCGTCAGCTACCAACAACCAATGAAGTAATTGGCTCAAACAAGACCTTATGTATTGATATATTGATGTTTTTATTGTAATTATACCAAATTGATTGCATTTTCATAAAATTTTCGGCATTCCGTATATAAACCGGACCATTCATCATCAACAATATGTACTGTCAAAAAGGAAAACTGAAAAGATTTAGCAAAAATTACGTAAGAGAATTTTGTTTGAAAAAATCGAACTTTGCAACAACTACGACACTGTGACACAAACATGAAATCAATGTATATATAGAATTTTTTTTTCTTAATTATTCGCCAAATTTGTCCAATTCCACACAATATCCAAGTAATTAATCAAGGCACTTGCTTAGCATTTTTCTAAATATTTATTTCGCAATTTTTCGTTTACATATTAAGATCTTTTTCACATGTTCTGTATGAGACACCAGCACCGAAACCAGTACCCATTATAAGGGGCCATGCTTTCCTCTTGAATATGAGCAGCGACAGCACCGAACCAATGGCCAAACCGCTGACACTTTTTATACCCATATCGGTAATGCAGCGATCGATTTTCTTTCCAAATTCATCTTCAGATTTGCTAACTTGTGGCATCTTGTTGGGATCCGGTGTTTTTTATTTGTTTGTTATTTGAGAAAAATGCAAAAAACTGTATTCGTTCGTTCTCCTATGAATCTATCGTACGCCGTTTCGCACTTCTTTTGATTAGTAACAGCTGTTTTCATTTTGACAGATAGTTGAATGAAAATATGGCGATGCCTTTATTAAGTCGTAAAGAGGTTGGCAGAAAAATGTATATGTAAATTGGTATACTCTACACCATACTCTGTTATAGGATATTATGTCTATATGGATATACGACAGACCCATAGTTACTTTTTAGGATATATAATCACTGTTTGTATCGATTTGTACATAAATCAGTATGTCCATATATTTTTAAAAACAAATACATTTTGAATTTTTATGATGAAATTTGGCAGATTTATATATAGTTTCCAGTATATCAAAGACCCAACGTTTGTCCGATTGACATGAAATGTTAAGCCTAGGATGATGTATACAATCATGTTTTCTTTAAATCGGTTTATATTTACATATAACTGCCATAAATTATTTCGTACGATTATACTCGGACAACGACTACCACCTCAGGCCAACGTTTCCACGACAGAGGGATCTACGATCCGTAACGACCAGAGTCTTGCTCGGTCAACGGGATACTACAACAACAACATCAAGCCAAACCAACATTAGAGCTGCTATAACAAATACTTCTGCAAATACAATTTTTATACCACACAAACACAATATATCAGTATCTATCTATCTATTCTGGCCTATTTCGTCTTATTCAAAGTAAAGCATCAAAGGAAGCCGTCTGCTTACCGTATTAAACCCAAAATTTCACAATAATTGCCGCCTCATCGACATCAACTACTACTAAATGTACCAAAGGCAAAAATATATTCAATAAGAAAATGTATAGGAGTATGAGCTATTATAACCGATTCGTAATCCGATTCGTTGATCCCATCACAAAGGGAAGGATTCGACAATTTTTATAGTCAGCACCTTCAAAGGAGTCTGAAAAAACAAAAGCAATTACCTCCATCCACTATTGTCAAGGAAGGTATGGTCTAAAGAAGTGCCTGAATAAAAACGTTTTCCTCGAAACCACTTTTAATTTATCAATCAACTGTTTTATAAGCTCTAAACTATCTTTCTTTTGCAAATTAAGGAACAGGCTTATGTTTTACGATTCTAAATCAACAACCGATAGAATATTCAGTTAGGTTTAAAATGGTTTAAAACCACTTCAAGTTTCGGCTGATTTCGTAATGTAATTATTGTATAAAAGAAGTCCTTATATTTCTATATCAAAGAAGATTCAGTCGCGTAACCAATTTGGCATCTCTACATAGGAGAATGTATATTAGGTTTCCAGTGGAGTGTTGGAAGCCTATATCCAAACATAATTGCATTTTTGTAAACCGGACCTCAACCACTTCAAACTGATATATTTGCTTTAAAAGGCATGGGGAAATACAAGGAGCACAACGGAATTAAGGGCTATCGAAAATTAAACATCCACAAGGAAACGATAACAAAGTAGATTCAGTCGCGTAGCCAATTTCGGCATCTCTCCATAAGAGAAAGTATATTAGGTTTCCAGTGGAGTGTTTAAAGCCATCTACAAAAATAATTCAATTTTTGTAAACCGGACCTCAACCACTTCAAACTGATATATTTGCCTTGGTGAATCGTAAAAGGCATGGGAAAAGCCATGGTACAATTATAAAAGGTAACAGCAAATCCCAGCTGATTTGATTCCAACGTTATACTAGTGTCAATATGAATTTGACAAATTATGTTTTTAAAAATCACCCAACAGAAAAATTGGGAACGCATACAATTTAAAATTGTTCTTTATTAAATGTGCTCCTGTATTCAATTTACTCAATCTGCCTGCTGGGAAAGTTTGAGGAAGCAAATCTTTCTTCAAGGAATAACTCGCTATTCCCAGCATTTTCATATGTGTTACACATATATATGGCAATGGCTCAATTATAGGAAATATGTGGAATAGATAGAAATATAAATTTGATAGATTTTCATTCATGTTTTTCAATTTTTATTTTGAGGATTCGAAAATATTTCATTTTCAAAATAAAAATAATTTGATGATAATTTGTTTGTTTATTTACATTTTTCTGTCAAATGATTTGACACTAGTAGAACTTACAAAAACAAATTTCCATGTGGTTGTTGTATCGTTTTTTGTACAACAACACTTGCTGTTACCTTCTATTATTATACCATGGGGAAAAGCAAGGAGCACAGCGGAAATTTAACTTCTTTCACAATATCTTACACACGCCAGAATGTCTGAAATTCGTCACATTAGTAACTACATAACCTCTTACCCCGATTTTGAGAATTTCAGTTTTAGTGTGGCTAGATCACCTAATAAGTTACATCCATTACGAAACAGCTGATTTCAATGCTCCTATAGGGTATGTTCAGTGTATGCCACAGGTGATTTTTTAAGCACAGGTGTAAATTCCATAACAGCTGTTAGTTCTTAAAGCCGGTTCCATTCAGTGAATAGTTCCCCTGAGATAGTCCATTCTGAAACAATAAAACTCTAATTTTTTAATTAAATTTTAGTTTTTTATTTATATTTTTTGGTGTGTAATCCACTTAAATGTGAATTAAATTGATATTGAATTTGTTTATTTCTGATATGTGGGAAATTGTTTTATAATACACATCGTCATCATCATTACCTCGATTCCATTAACCCCTTATGGCCAGTGATTTAGAGAGTCTAGACTTATGTGTACCATCAACCAATAACGAAGACTTCCCACAATATCCCCAGAATATACAACGTTTTAATGTCAACGAAATAAGTTACAATGATTTCTATTGGCTTTATATGGAACGTAATATACCGGTTATACTGGAACAGGTGTCCAGCAACTGGGAATGTCGCAATTGGATAAACACTGAAACTGTTGCCGATCCGACGGACTCTTTGGTTACAGTTACTAACAACAAGACTAGTATTAACTATGACTACCTCAAGGAAAGAATTGACAACACTCTGGTACCAGTGGCCAATTGTGCAGTGGAATATTTTAATAGTCATGCAAAGAGTGAAATGTTATTTTATGATTTCTTAAAATACTGGCAGGAGGAGGAGGGAAATGCACATCAGACCAATCCCACTGAAATAAGCAACCGGAAAGGAAATTCCACCGATCTATTGTACCTAAAAGACTGGCATTTGAAGGCTCAGAATTCCAACTATGACTTCTATAAAGTTCCTAAACATTTTGCCTCCGATTGGTTGAATGAACATTTATTGGCCACCAATAGTGATGATTATCGTTTTGTTTATATGGGACCAAAGGGGACATGGTAAGTTATCATTATTGACCTTTGAAGTCAGTGAGTTATGATAATTGTTTTTTTTTTCTATGTCAAGGACACCTTTTCATTCGGATGTTTTTGGATCATTTAGTTGGTCAACAAATATTATTGGTATCAAAAAATGGCTACTCATGCCACCCGGCGAAGAACTAAAACTCGCCGACCGTTTAGGCAATTTGCCATTTTCTATCAATGAGCAGCTGCTAGAAGAACATAACGTCCATTTTTACACGCTAATGCAGAAGGAAAATGAATCATTATTTGTACCCAGTGGCTGGTATCATCAAGTAACCAATATCACCGATACCATATCCGTCAATCACAATTGGTTTAATGCCTGCAATTTAGAACGTATTTGGACAAATCTCTCGCAACAGATGCAACGTGTCGTGACCGAAATAGATGACTGCCGTCAAATGGATAATTTCACGGAACATTGTCAGACAATGTTGCGTGCAAGTTTTGGGATAAACTACCTCGATTTTATACAACTACTACAATCAATAACCGAAAGACGTTTGTTAGCTAGAAATAATAACACTGCCTCAAGTTTATCTAACAACCAATATCAACAAGAAATAACATCATCGTCATCGCAGCCACCATCATCACCATCTTCATTGGTAACACCACCGACACTGTCGACGACGACGTCATCATCGTCTTCCAAATTAATATTTTTTGATAATTATATACCAAATGATTATCATATAGAACATGATTTGCAACGCATTGTTCAGGTGGTCGACTTAATGCTACAGGATTCGGTTATTTGTGATGATCGTATAGTTTTATATCGTAAATGTATACAATTAAAGGAAACACTTAATGGATAATTTATAACATCATCAGCATTATCAACATCGTCATATGAACATTACAATAGATTTATAGATATACATTCAAATATATTTATATATAGTTGTATATATACATATTTATTTTTCACAAAATAAATTTAAAAACTATTTTTTAAAATAAAGACCAAAGTAAGAAATATCAAAATTATTTTTAAAATTTTTAAAGGTAAATTCTTCTTGTCGTCCCTTTCTCATCTAAATATTATTTCATCGGCTAATTTATTCCATTTGTTTCCACTTTGATCTGAAACTTAATAGAGACTAAGGAATTGTAGTTCACCATCCACCACATTGGCACATCCCAACTGGCATTTAGTGATTTTGCGGTGACATTCATAAAGTCATTGTTCCAACCTGGGCAGTCCACCAAACTGTCATTGAGCATGCGCGAAAACGTGTCCTTAACATTCAACCATCAGCGGTCGCTGAAGCTGAAAGGTCCCTGACAAAAAAAAGAAGAACCATTCTGGCAGACCTTTGGTCAAAATTGTCAGTCAGTCCTCAACACTTATTAAACTGCAATTGTTGGGATTAAAGACATCGGTCCAAAATACAAGCCATACTTATAGTTGTAACATGGCTTGAGAAAATATTATACCCTCAGTCTTAGGGTTAATGAGGGTATATACACTATGATACGCCAAAAATGTGCTTCATCGAAAGTATTGGTGTTAAACCCCATGTTTCTATGTTAATAGAACAGTAGGATTCGGGAGGGAGATCCTGTCCATCTGGAGTTCACGATGGAGAGCGTGCGGATAGCTTCTTTCGAACTTCCTTACGAATCTCATCTTGCCCTTGATGAAATGGACCCATCTTTCCGAAATTAAATTCGCGTCTCGCCCCTCGAATTGAGCCGCTGTCCGTTGCTCGACAGATTCCACATCGTCGGACATCGCCTCCGCCGCAGATTGCCTCTGAAGTTTATTGTCAGTAAGTGGCGACACAGGACCTGTTGAAGTCGATCGGTCAACAGGGTCTGCGCTTCCTTCGTTTATGCTAAAAAAATCCCCCTTTGTAGACTTGTCTGGGTGTCCAGCTCATCATCTAACTGGTCGAAGATTTCCTTACTTTGCTCCTCTAAACTATCGCGGATAGCGTTATTAGTTCCGTGTAGGTCATCCCCTCCCAAAACTACAGTCCTGTCAGCCAGAGACTGATTTTCATCAGTACTGACTTGCATGCACTTGTAACAGATACAACTGCAGGTGCCAAGGCATCCCCACCTAGAACAGCCGGATCACAATAGCTTGTTCTTGACGACATGTGGCTTGTTATCTCGCCAACGATTGCCACGGGTATTGGGTTATTAACTCCCTGCACCGTAACTTTATTCTTTTTACCCTTCTTAGCTGATTTATTTAAGGGCTCTACCCCGATCCATTTTTGTCCACGGGGGATCCGAAGATCCCCAAGGTTTCCATAAAGTGCAGAGAAAAGTTGACCTAGGTCAGTTTCACTCTGCACATTATGAAGACCCCCTTCTCATCCGCCACCCGGGAAGACGCGCCAAGTAGGAGATTGGCAACTCCACTGGGCAAATAAGTCTATACTTTCATAGATATGGGTCTCCAAATTTCCGCGGGATCCTTCTTCAATTCTGAAAATCAATATAGGGGTTTGTGGGTAGACGGCCTTCGAACAGGGATTTACGATTTTCTCCTATGAACAGGTGGCAACACCGGCTACGCGATCCCATCTCCTTTCAAGTTGAATAGTGTTTGTGTAATCAATATTTCAAACGCTTTTAATTGATACCTATATTGCCTCGAGTAAGTTTTAAAAATCGTAAGAAAATACAAGGACCCCAACAGAATTTTGAAGGCACATATCTCCGGAAATACCGATTTCCATAAGAAAAAAAGTATACCGTTGTAATCAGGACCCCAAGGACTGCATGTGGTAAAAATTTCAAAACGATCCGCTTGATGGACCTAAACTCGACTTAAGCCTAGCCCCTAAATTTGACTTAAGAACAAGTTTTTTGGCAAAGCTGTAAATGATTTTAGGATCTATCTCGGTCTCGGTTAAAGTGTCTACCCCCACACCCCTTAAAAGACGTCACTGTCTTGTGTGTGTTTACTCTTTGTTTTGGTATTATCATCCGCTTAAAACAACAACAACAGTACAGCTGTTTAATAAACATTTGGAGGCAAAAATATTCACCGACCCGTCGCACCGAACGCGACGGAATAAATTATCAACAAACACAACAACAAAGCCGATCAAACTTGTTGGTACTATTTTTTGGAAAGTTTTTTGCATTATTGCGGACGGGAATATTAATCGGTTAAACAAACTCAATAGAAACACATCGCGCTCTCATGCTATAGGAAAATGCCTCTTAAAGGTATTAAAGTTTTGGAATTTGCCGGTTTGGCACCAGCACCATTTTGTGGTAAAATTTTGGCGGACTTTGGGGCAAAGGTTACAGTTATAGATAGGGTATGAGTGCTAAAGCACCAAATAACAATTTCAACACTTGGAAAAAAAGTTGAATAATTCTGCTTTTTTAGGTGCCAGATAATCTATTCAATTGTATGAGCCGCGGCAAACGTGTATTGGCCATTAATTTAAAAGCCCCCGAAGGACAAAAACTTGCCCGCAAATTAGCCGGAACTCAGGATGTTCTTATTGAACCATTCCGTCCGGGTGTTATGGAAAAGCTAAATTTGGGACCTGAAATTCTGTGCAAAGAAAATCCCAAACTTATCTATGCCAGACTAACAGGTTTTGGACAAACCGGCAGATTGGCTGCTCGTGCCGGTCATGATATTAATTATGCTGCGATTTCCGGTGTTCTATCTATGTTGGGTCATAAAAATCAAAATCCTCAACCTCCTATGAATATATTGGCCGATTTTGCTGGTGGTGGTCTCATGTGCGCATTGGGAATTTGCATGGCTCTATTGGAACGTTATCGTTCGGGACGTGGACAAGTTGTTGATTCGGCCATGGTTGATGGTGCAGCATATGTTGCCAGTTGGCTATTTATGGCACGCTCTATACCATCCATATTTCAAGGAGAACGTGGCACAAATGCTCTGGATGGTGGTTTTTATTTTTATGACGTCTATAAGACCAAAGATGGCAAATATATGTCCGTCGGTGCCTTGGAACAACAATTTTTCAATGAGTTTGTAAATAAATTAGGCCTCCCGGAACTTTCTCAAGGTATGATTACTGAGGAGGAACAGAAAACTGCCAAAGCAATGGTAACGAAAAAATTTCTAGAAAAAACTCAAGCTGAGTGGTCAGCAATATTTGAAGATATCGACGCGTGTGTTTATCCCATTGTCGATTGGGAGAATGTTATGGAACATGATCACAATAAAACTCGTCAGGCATTTGAAAAATTAGATGATGGTTGTTTAGCACCCACTCCTGCACCACGCCTAAGTCGCACTCCGGGTAAACTTTCAACACGTCCCTGTACATCTGCCGAGGCGGTTGAGGAGTCTTTAGATATTTTAAAAGATTTGAAATTAAGCAATAAAGAATTACAAAAATTAGTAAGTGATAAAGTTTTGATATTGCCCGCTCAGGCAAAATTATAAGCATTCCAGTTCCATATACCTACATATAAATAAACTATGTTGTTGTCGTTTTATTTTATTGTGATAAGATTGCAAAGAGATTTTTGATAATATTGTTCTTTTTTATATACATAAGTACTGAAATATATTTGTTGTTGGCAAAATTTTGAATAATCTGTTGATGGTTGATGTTTTTTTATTTAAAATTTATTTAAATATGTGCATATATACTTAACGGAAATGTACTTCCGTAGTGTCTATTTGGCATTCTCGATTTTGAGAAAACTTTTTTCTTTTTATAATTATATGCTTTGATTTCATGCATACAGTGAAAAGAGTAGAAGTGAACGACTTCCTTTTATAATAAAAATTGTTTCTAAAGAAGAACCATTATGCGACGCGTTTCGCCGTTGGTTAAGCGGCTCATCAGGCATATTGGGCTATGTTATGGCTTTACAAAGGTCGTATGTTTATAGCTTGTATTTATTTCGCCCTGATGCAAACTTGCATATGTCTTCATTCTAGAAACAGTCCTTTTCCAAGCAGATTTTTGTTGAAGCGATGAATAGTTTATTCACAACACCTACAATTCCTTCCATGGTGTTGGATATGTTTGTATTTTGAACCCTGATTGTGTAGCAAATATTTTCTTCCCCCATTTGGATATTTTAATGATTTTAGAATCATTTTCCAACTGACTTGGGTGTAATAAAATTGTTGATTTCATATATATGCAGTAAATCCAGTAAAAAAACCGACGAATTATTACGATGGAACAGTAACGCTGAGAAACGGGCGAAGAGAGGGCTGATTGCACTTTATGCATGCAAGAATTCCATTGGGAAAAGTTGGGGTCTAGAACCATCGACCATACACTGGTTGTATAACACAGTGGTAAGGCCCATCCTTTCCTATGGTTTTCTTGTTTGGTGAAACTTCCTGCGCCACAAGTCGACATCCAGCAAATTATATAAGGTACAAAGAGCCGCCTCGATTTTAATAACAGGAGCCATGAAAATCACACCACAAGCAGCTCTGAACGCAATGCTGAACTTATGGCCTCTGGGCCTCAGTATTAAGTGTCAGGCCGCACGTAGTGCCCTAAGGTACTATACTATATCACTAGTCTATATATCACGACTCCTGAGATTTGACGATGTAGATGTCGTTATTCCTAGTAGAGACGTCTGGAACCGGAGTAACCCTCCTTTGGAAGATCTGGCTTTCTATACAGACGGATCCAAGATGGAAGAAGGATCAGGGCCTGTCGTCTACTGTGAAAGTCTAGGCCTTGAGTTAACCTACAAGCTGGATAGCAACTGTAGTGTTTTCCAAGCTGAAATCTTCGCGTTGAACCAGTGACTATCTTTCTGGATAGTCAAGCGGTTCTTAAAGCCATCAAATCCTGTTACATCTAATCTTAGGCCGTCCTTAAGTGTAGGACAGTTTTAGAAGAACTTACAGCTTTCGGCTGTGTTGTGTACCAGGACACCGTGATATCATGGGTAATGAAAGAGCAGACGAATTAGCTAGACGAGGATCTCAATCTACAGATCTAGCAATTGATGGCTCAATCAAACCACCCATATGTAATTTTTATCGGAACTTTGAGGCGTTCTTCGACAAAAGAGCCTATGAAGATTGGCACAAGGAACCCAGGTGCAATGTGTCAAGACACTCACTGTTGAACCTGAGCAAATCCGAAATAAGAGTAATGACAGGAATCATTAAATGGGACCATGATGCTAATGATTACTATAGACTCTGCGATGACGAGTAGTAGACGGAGAAAATTGAGCATCTCTTGTGTCGCTGCCCAGTCCTGGCCTTCAGACGGCTCAGACTAGTGGGTGCTCATTTTCCACCGAGCCTTAAAGTCTTCTCAACAAGGAACCTGCTCTAATCTACAGCATAATTAAAAACCTAAAGTGGTTGAGAAAGTGATTCCTTGACACGTAATATATCTTCTGTCCGATCTCTATAGCCATCGATACTATCTCACACTTCCTTCCAAGCTTCCCATCTCTCACTATCCCCCTTTCTTTTCTCCCCAATAGATCTCTCCATATATTTTTCTTTTCCTGACCTGACGGTCTCAGAGTGCTGCCACATAAGTGGCTGCACACCCCAAACTTAACCTATTGTATAACACCTATATATGCCCAAATTTCGGCATTTTTAGGGTATAGGTGTTTGTAATTTAGTATATCGGATTTTTTTGATTCTTTTAAACGCTTTGGCCTCTTTCTAACAAAGTAGGTGCAATTTGAAATCCAGGATTCTTGAATGTTGCATAAAATACTTTCCAGAAAAAATGCCATATAGGTCCATGTTATGACATAAATTCTCGGAGAATAAAAAAAAAAACATTTTTCAGATAGTCTTTAATGTTCAGAATAACGATATTTCTAGCCCATTTTTCCCAACCTGATATATGGTGTTTACTTTCTGCAGAGCATAAACCACCTACTAGGAGATAAGTTTCAATGACATAGTCTCCATATAATGGTCTCGACCGATTTAAGGTATTTTGAATGCTCACCACATATGGGACTGTCATATTAGCAGTTGCCTTACTTAGAGACCAGTGGTCCGCTGTGTTTATCTCAAAAAGAAAAATTGTAGCGGGGGAAAAATAAGATATAGCATAAAAAGAAACTAAGTTGAGGTTAGGTTTCATAACTCTGGATGCTGGAATCTATATAAACGTGTCAATCTCAATCAAACATTCAATGGCTACTGCTGCATAATATTGGATATCTACACGAGTAGATGCTCAATCGATTCCATCCGATCTTTTATTTGGAAGTTAGAGATCTAACTCTACAAAGACATGTTTTGATACCAACAGTTGATACCTTTCTTAACACATTAAGGACCGCTCACGAGTTTTCTCGTGTTTCGCGTCCCATCTGTTACGGACCGCTCATGAGTTCTATCGTGTTTCACGTTCCGTCTGTTACGGATGGACAAGCTACGAAAAACTAAATGCACAAACGCAAAATAAAAAACAACTTTAATTGCGGTTTTGTCTCAAAGAGCATTCGACACGTTGCATTGCATTTTGGTGATTCGAATAGCATTCGCATTCAAGTTCCTCGCCCTTTTAGAAATGGCCTCCTTTCGAAAAGAGATGGAAACGAATGAAGTTGAAATACTTTCATTATGGTCAGTCTAAGGTAGTTAAAAAACCAAATTTTCCCTAAATATTGAATGTCCGATTCCAGTATAATCCGTATTCGAAAGAAATGCGTACGAACGTTGCCCTTATGAATGCGATTCTAATTGTATATTACCCCATTGTCAGATACGTCTCTGAATGGAATGATGTCAAATTGTTTTCATTTCCTTTTGCTTGGCTATTCGTAGCTTATATTTGTGTTAAAACAACTCTGCATTCACCTACTTGTTCTCTTCGATTGTTGATGTCGTCTATTTTAAAATTAGATCTTTGTGTATCGGTTCGTTACGCTTATTTTCATGTAAAAAATATCTAAACGGAAATACACACGTGTTAAAGTAATACAGAATTTGGTAATATATAGAAAAATATTCAATATTTCAAATATTAATATTTAGAATATCAATAATTTTTGTGGATTTCTAGATACACATCACTGGGAAAATTAGTATTGAATTCGTTCGGATTGGTGCGCCGTGATTCACTATTTTTTTTGTTTGTATATTTTTGTGTTTGTAAACTACACCATTTCCAAGTTTTTAATAATCTAAATTATGTATCTGGTGATCCAAAAACCGCAATACGTATCTGATTCTATGTCGGGTTTATTTAAATTTTTGTATACAATAACCAAAATTTATAAATCAATTTAAAAAATTAAAGTTCACAAACAAAAAATTTAATATATTGAAAGATTGCAAATACATTATTTCGCAACATTTATTATTGATTAAATAAAATAATTCCAGATAATATAGTATATAACAAAACAGATAATAGAGGTGCAACAGTTTTTAGAATTTGGTTGTTCCTAAAACCGATCATAGCTTTTGAGCTAAGTTCCAACTATTTGAAATTAACTTACCGATTTCATTTTGTTTCTTCTTCTATTTCAGGAACTAACCTCAAGCAGAAATTATGGCTGATTTGGAAAAACTCAGTAATAAGGAGTTACGTCAAAAATGTAAAGATTTGGGCATTGCAAACATTCCCGTTACAGATTCAACACGGAAATTACTAATACGTAAAATACAAAATTGCATATCTGGCGGCGAATCGAAGAAAAATGTTAAACGTCTTGCCAATCATAAACCTGCAAAATCCTCCACTTCCAATGTCAAAATTGCTGTCAATACAAAAATACGTGTAAGAGATGATGTTGCCGAAAAGAAAAAGGATACCATAAATTTAACACGACGTTCAATAAGCGACACTAAAACAAAAACAAATGTAAAACATACTCCAAAACCGTTGAACAACAACAGTACCGTTAAAATCCCAACAAAAGATATATCACCAAAATCTTCGTATTCATCAACACAAAGAATAAGCCCTCTTAAAGGTATACTGAAAAATAAACTTTCCATATCGCAAAGACCATCGGAGAATATAATAAGCGATAGCCTACATAAAAGGGACTATACAAACGAATCATTATCAGCGAATTTTGGAATTTGTCATACTATGCAACCAAAATTATTTAAACCCCAAATTTCGAAAATTAACACCACAGTATGGCCGCACAATACATCAGCAAGAACTCAAGTTCTAACTAAAACTCCCGTCTTCTGTACATCATTTATACAAGAATCTAGCATTTATAGATCCTAAAATAAATTAATAGACCCTAATAATATTATAAATATTATACTTGTATAGCATCACATTATTGTCTAACTTTAAGCTTCATATTTTTGTATGTATATTAATAATATACTAATAAATATTTAATTCTAAAAACATATTTTGTTTTATGGATCGTATTTTAATTATTGATGTACGTAATTATCGATATGTGAAACAAAAATCCACAAAATTTACGAATAGAATTTACTGTGAATTGAAATTTGATATCGAGTGGATTCCGATTTTTTCTTTAATTTGTTACTGGATCTTAGTTATTTATGCATAGGTACATTTATAGCTATTCTATTACGAGCGCAAATTTGACAATTGTACAGAGTTATTTCGAGGGTTTAAAAGTATGGAACTGAAATTCAACATCTGCCAAACAAAGTTTTCTTTTCAGTTGAAATTTTGACATTGAGAAAATGGATCGCTTCACAATCTCACAACGCAATAAAAATCTTTTTTTTTTAAGTCCAAGTCTGACCAAACCTATTGTTTTTGGTAATAAACGGGTAATAGTTAGGAAATCGAATGGACTAAAATCTTTATATTTGCCTGTTTTTCAGGTCGCTCTAGAGGTATCAGTAAATACCACAAAATTTTGCACGGAGAAGAGGATCTAGTCACTGAATATTTAGCGCGTCAAATGGAGACGGGGGAAAAATCACAACATTTGTATGGTATGGCGTATATATTTACTCCATACCATACATCTATTTAGAATGGCTGATTAGAGGGTCAATTGAAGGATAGATAGTATAGAGGACAAAAATACTCTTCACCAAATTTTAGCATAAGTCCCTGAACAAGAGAAATCGGTATATATAACATATATTAGGTTTTGGAAAAAGAAATCCATTATTTTTATAGGACTTTAATTAACATGCTTCACTTACATCCGCGAACAACACTGGCGCCACATAGCTTACTACTGACTTACTAACGATTTGAGGACCTTGTTCCTACTTCTCAGCTTATCGCATACAGCAGTGGCTTGCGCAGACGACTTATAAAGGCTGTCGAACGTTACTCCCAGTATCTTGAAGAAGTTGGTGGTCGGAATCAGTTCTCCATCGACCATTATGTTCAGTGGGAGCTTCATTTCAGCCGTTCATGTGGTGAACAGTGTGACTGTTGATTTTGTGGCGGATATTTTCATATTCCTCAGTTGGAAGAAATTAACAAAATCGGCAATGTAGAAGTTTAACATCTCACATATGACATCAATAATGGTACCCGACGCCATGATCGTACAATCATCTGCATTCATTACGATCTCTATGCTGTTCGGTGGTTGTAGAATATCAGAAAGTTAGAGGTTGAACAGTTCGGGAGATATCACCCCTCCTTGGGGAACTCCCTGTTTCACTCTACAGGGCTTAGACTTCCTGTTTCTGAATTCCACATACGACTGGGGTCCACACATATAGTTGATTATCCAACGTTTCAAACACGATCGGATGTTTGTCTTTTCTATATCTTTGAACAGCTTGGTATGGTTGACTTGGCATGGTTGACGGCCTTCGATAGGTTAAGTGCCACCATAACTGTTCGGTTGCACAGTCTGTTCTGGTTAAATCCTCCTATAATATATGTGGAAATGGCGTGTAATGCTGTTGTTGTGCAGTGCATTTTACGAAATCCATGTTGGTGTTGGAAAACTTCTTCTCAATGACGGCAAGTGTAGCGCCTCCAGTGACTTTGCCAACTGGACAGAAGTGAAATCGGCCTGTACGATTCACCCTTGCTGGCATCCTTGCCAGGCTTCAGCAGCGGGATCACCCTGCCTATTTGCTAGGCTTTAGGAACTATGTGGGTGGTTAACAACAAGATGAGGGCTGATGTTAAGTACTAAACTGCGGGTTCATCCAGCTGCTTGAGCATTACTATGGATATTCCGTCCCGGCCCAACACTTTGGATTACTTAGTGTTATTGATGACATCTACAACGTCCTCCTTCGTAAATTGTAGTGGTGGTTTTCGCCCTGTCACTCTCGGGTTGCTCTATGAATTGCCTGTTAAAATAACTCGCGTACCTCTTCGGGTCTGTCAGAGTTACGTCGTTAAATGTAAATGGTGTTAAATGCTGTGAGTTTTACTGTTGAGGAGACTGCGTGGTGTCTCGTACTCCGAAGATGACGAATCGGACGACGACTCCTGAGACACACTGGGAAACATACTACGCAGCATGAAGCGACGTAACTCATTTCGCAGTACTCCTGGATTTTGTTCAGTCCAGAACAACCTCGAAAGTGCATCCATTCTCCACATCCATTGATCTATTGCACATAATGGGCTGTTGCAATATCGCTTGACTTGCATTATCGCCTTTGTCAAAGAAAAACTGTAAAAAGTACAGAATTTTCTCTTTGTTCACTTCCATTTTTAACCCTGTAACTCACAACTGAATGCATCAAACAAAAACAGCAAAATAATTGTTTTTACTGCGATATGTCACCCTTCCAACGAGCATAAATTTGAAATAGTTTGATCGATACTTTACGAGAATAGAACGGCCATCTGCCCAAAAAATAATGGATTTCTTCTTCCCCAACCTAATATTTTTTTGTGAACAAGTTACCCATTTATTTCTAAAAAAGCTTTCGCTATAAGTATATTTTTTTTTAAATTACAGTTCATTTATTCAGTTTCCAATTTCAGTTGCTTTAGTTTTTGGCCACCAGCAGAGATGGCCGGTCAGAAACAGTGACGTATAATACATACGTCAGAAACGTCGGAAACCTACCCAAATCCATTTGGTTTTTTATAAAATAGCTATTTCTATTAATCAATTTGGAAATTACGCATGCTTTACTCAAATTAATATAAAATGTCAAAATTTTGTTCTGAAAAAAATTTAAAAATTTGCATCAGTTCTAGTAAGGAATAGTAAGATATATGTAAAAATAATATATATTCTTGAGAATAACTGTATATACTGATAATATAGAAATAAAGGACGTTTACTACATTTATTACATTTTATACAGGTATATGACGTTTTCGACGTTTACACCTTTTTGACAGTCGGAAACCTAAAAATTCGTCACATGGACCATCCCTGGCCATATATATATTAATATATATATATATTAAAAATTATTTATTCGGTACTTGTTCAATTTGTTCTTTAGTATTTTTATTTAGTATTTTTAATATATATGGGAAATTACTAACATCTTTTAAATTCCTTGAAACTGAGGTTTGCATGGTTATAACTCGCGAAATATGAACATATTGCATATAATTTAAATTCATTTATATAAAATGAATTGTTCTTGTCAAAATCTTAAAATATGGGTAATAAATAATAATTTGGGTGGAAGCTGTGATGTTGGTAATGTAATAAAATGGGTGAAAATGAGTTGAAGCCAACGAGTTTTTTTGTGTTTCTTCCTGATTTGTGGCTAAACTACACAACGCACGCATATGGGATCAGTGTCTAAGTTGCAGAATACCCCATGGACAACATGGTTCTAATGTATGATTTTTCGATATAATCACTGCATCCACCCGAAATGGATGCTGACATTTTGAAGCCGGAATTTCGGTGTTTTTTGATTTTTTCTTATAATTAGGATGCGCATCCAGATAACGGACTAAACTAATTATAGGATTGTAGAACTCGTGATTTTGCTTCGTTTAGTGTATATCTCATGAATGTGCTCACCGTAGCTTCTTTGCAATTGGGCTCCAAAGACAAAAATTTGGTGCGTAAACCTAAAAAACCTATTTTATGAGTCCAAAATTAAGAAACTACATTCAAATTCCGTGGAACCCCGCGTGATTTCAGTTTTTTTTACGTGCCGGATCTAATGAGCCCATCCATGTTCAATTCCGCCCAATAAAACGGCGGATATAGGTACCTTGAATGTGGGAAAAATTCCAAAAATTTATTTTGACAAATTCGCGTATATTATCGCGTTTTTCTTCGAACTGATTCCACATACATCCATTCTTGTGTCATCATATTCGCGAATCTGTGTGAAAATAGGCCAAAAATATATCGATACGCGAATAATATGCGTATTTTATCCAAAATCGATTGCGAAGGCACATCCGCGGTGCTTAACCGATCCTTTTAAAATAGGTGTTCTTTTGTGTATTTTCATAGGAGATTACTGAAATCGGATGCGCATAAAAATCGTATGCACTTTGCGTCATTTTTAAGGTTTTTGCATAGTAAAGTGCATCGAGCGGCACACTTTAGCCGAAAAAACATCGAAAAATTCATAATTATTGGAAGACATTGATTCGGTTTATACGAAAACCGCATGCGCAACAACTGATTTCCGCGAATACGCGAATTGCATGTTTTTCAATATTGACCATTTTTATGTATTGAAAGTGCAATATATTTAGTCAGTTTTAAAGTCGAAATTCTTATCAGATGAATCTACCGATATTTAAAAATCATCTAAAAGAATTTGAAGAAGAAAGCGTGGCGTATTTTAGAAGATTAAGGCAAAACCGTATTCCCTTAACCATACTAAAAAATCGAAAATTCTAATTTATTCTATTGTCAGTTGTCTTCATTTTTTTATTTGTTTTTCGCGACTATTAAACCATATTTTAATGCGATTTGAGAAGTATACAAAGAAAACAAATGTGTTTATCCGTTTGTGAAGAAATTCGCGATGTACAACAAATAGGAATTCATTTAATTTATATTTGAAATACAAGGTTTAAAACGGCTATAACTTATGTGCGCAGCATCCGAATTTGTGAACGCGAACAGATTTCGAATCAGCATATTTTTCTTAACCTATGTACCAAAAATCATAAATGTGCTCGCAAAAAAAAAATTTTTAATTTTTTTTAATGGAATTTTAAAAGAATTTTGTAATTTCTTATATCTTGCCACCTTTTCAATATAATTTAAAAGCCAATTTTTATTTACAAATTTCATATTTGAACAAAAAGTATAAATTAAAAAAAAAATAAATAATTTTTAAACCCCTTCGTAACGAAAAAATAATTTTAATTTGCCTTGTCAACTAGCTGAACTAAAGGAACTAGATAAATGGAATGGTTCCAAACGTTCATTTCACACAGCACTTCCTTTGAACCTATTCGTTGCGAAACGACACAACTCTTGAGAATTTAGTCATTCGTTTTTTCGCAATATCAGCCGCCAGCCGGGGCCACGCGCTTTGTGAAAATCTATGCAAAAAGAGAAACAGAACAAAGATATATAGTCACTTCAATTAGAAGAATTTAATCGTGGAAATTAAAAAAAAAGTTTTTTGTGCTTTTCTTTCGTTAGTTAACGTTGAAACATTTGGGAATTGCACAAATTTGTTTGTATTTGCAAGGTGGCAGTGAATTAAAACGAAGCAACAGAAGAACAAAAAATAAAATAATTGTGAGACATCATCATCCGAATTACATATAAAAAATTCAAGCAACACACAACAGAAGAAAAACGACGACGACGAATAAGAGGCAGTAAAGGAAAAAGCGAGAAGCCAACAGAAGCAGTCAAGCAGCGGAATCAAAGAAATAACGAAAAAAAGAGGAGACAAAATCAATTATTGACAGGCAACAACGAACGAACGAATCAATCGCCAAACAGACGAATAAGAAACTTGTGCGTGCATTTAATAGAAGTAAAAAGAAACCGAAGAAGTTCAAAAGGATAATAACGTCTCAAAGGTAGGCATAATTAGTATATCCTGCATTTTGAGGCACATTTCTATAGTGAAGGTTAAAACAATTCTAGTTTCTTCCACAACAACGCTGTGTCATTAAAAAAAAACGTTTGGTTCGTTTCACATTTCTTCAGCGATTTGAAAGCATCCTCTCTCCATCCATCCATACCCAGTGCAAATATCAAGTGTTATCATGATGAATCCACAAATAACCATGCAGTTGATACAAATCTTGGAAAAGACTGTTTCACCAGGTAAGAACACATTTTTTTATCTAAATTTTGGAAATAATGCAGTTTTCCTGCAAGGAAAAAAAGTAATTTTGGCGCTTGTATACACATAATTCGTGATAGTTCATTTGTATAGGTGCAAGTAGCAGCAGAAGCAAAATTTCATATTACCCTAATCCCCTAGCCCTGTTGGTATCCCCTCATCTATGACAATTGCCTTTGTTATATATATGTGTGTTTGTGTGTGCGTCTCATGCTTACTTTTTTTTTTGCACACAACGAAAATGGGGGAAGAAACAGAATTGAAATTAAAAATTATTTAACTATAGCCGCCAAGGCAGCTTTTATCGAGTTTTGTTGTTGCTGTCGTTGTTGTTCCTGTTGTATTCTGTTTTGTGTTTGTGTAGTGAAGGGATTTTTTTTTATGTGCACGCAGGGTTGCATATTTCGGTTGTAGTTTTTGAAAATAACGGACAATAACTACTTAGAGTAGCTTTGGTTTTGTTAATCACTGGTTGTGGACGACTAATAGGAAAACAGGAATAGGCGTTGGACATTTATGATTTTAGAATGTCGACAATCAAATGGTTATCTTGATAGAGAAGTCATGCTATTGATAGGTTATGTTTTTGGAACTTTGCATTTAACTTTCAAAATCACTTGTAGCACAAATCGAAAGTGACGAATACTTTTGTCTACATTCTAATTGGAAATAGAGGAATGATATTATTTGCTCTCCAATTGGAGCAAATACCTTTCCTAACCTAACTAACATTCCACCATATCTACTCATTGTGTAAAATCAATAGGTCAACCCAAGTGGAAATATTTGGGGGGTAGTTGTTGAGATTTTGGTAAAATTTTGTATGTAGTTGACATTTTTGTAACCTCTACCATAGTATGGAGGGTATATTAATTTTGCCATTCATCGAAATTTTCATTTGCGATCCTACAAAGTATATATATTCTTGATGAAAACTTCTAAGACGCTATCTTCTGAAGGAATTGAGACAGATCGCCAAAATTTAGCATAGAGTCGTCTTTTGTCTGCAGGCAGGTCAAGTTCGAAGATCGGATATATCGGTTCACGTTTAGGCATAGCTCCTATATAAGGGTACCCCCCCAATCGATATTTTGGGGTTCTTGAGCGCGCTTTTCAACCGATGGGGGTTTTGATGGTATTTTTTCACCGAATTGGCTGTAATTTAGTATTTTGAGTTCTTAATATATACCAAATAACTCCACAAAAAATTATGGATATTGGTCTACTTTGAAGGGTACCTTCAATTTTCGATATGTTGGAGTTCATGAGCGCGCTTTTCAACCGAATTCGCTGAAATTTGGTACATTGGGTTATTTTTGGGTACCAAATGTCTCAACTAAAAATTATAAACATAGGCCCACTTTTTCTGGTAGCCCCATTTTATAACGGTACCCCCAATTTACGGTATTTTAGGGGGTTTTATCCGCGTTTTTAAACCGAATTCGCTGTAATTTGGTGCAATGGGTTCTTATTAGATACCAATTTTTTCCACTTAAAATTATAAATACAGGTCTATTTTTTCGGGTGGCTCCCATATCAGGACAGCCCCAAATTTTCGGTATTTTTGGGTTCTTGAGCGCGTTTTTAACCGAAGTCGCTGTAATTCGGTACATTGGGCTCCTTTTGGGTACCAAATGTCTCCACTACAAATTACAAATATCGGACAACTTTTTCTGGTAGCCCCTCCCATATTTACGTATTTTGGAGGTATTTTTAAGCACGTTTTAATCTGAATTCGCTGAAATTTGGTACAATGGGTTCTTATTGGGTATCAAATTTCTTCACTAAAAATTATAAATATAAGCCCATTTCTTCGGGTACCACTCATATAAGGCACCCTCAATTTTCGGTACTTTGGGGTTCTTAAGCGCTTTTTCAACCTAATTCGCTGTAATTTGGTATTTTGTAGTCGCATATGGTAAAAAATCTACCTACCAAAAATTATTAATATTCGCCCCCTTTTAGAGGTAGTTCCCCCATCTTACATTAAAATAGTTAGGTGATTAGTTCCGTGTGTAGGGGATGTCCCCATATAGGCGTATTCTATCATAGCATAAGGGATAGTCGTTACCAGAGCTCCGAAATGCTCGCTCGAATTCGAGTAAAGAGTGAAACTTGCTCGAATTCGAGCGGGAGTACTCCTGCGAGTAGAAAAAGTAAAACGAGTATACTCTATGTTTCTCTTCCACTCAAATAAGAGCGCAAGGGCTTCGCTCGTATTCGAGTGGGAGTGAAATTCGCTCGAAATCGAGCAGAAATCGAGCATATCCACTCGATTTCACTCTTAGAGTGAACTCTTACTCTATTTCGAACGTTTTAACTCTCACTCTTTTTCTTCAATAAGGAGTACTCGCGAGCACTCCCAAACAAAATAAAAGAGTGAAGAGTATACTCCTTAAAAAACTCGTACTCTTCTCGTACTCCCACTCGGGAGTATTTTTCACTCGCGAGTAAAATCGAGCAAATCGGAGCTCTGGTCGTTACTCGAAATAGTCAGTTTTACCCTATAAATTATGGAATTCTAAGACGATCGGAAATAGTCATAAAAAACTCGATCCTGACCATAATGAAATATATCTGACTGCATTTATGCATCTCACCCATATAATTATACCATCTGAAGGAAGGAAAATTGAGACACAAAACAAAAATATTGGGTTCGAAATTGACATATGTCGGTCATTAATTAGGCATAGCCCTCATATAACTATAACCCTAATGTTCGCTAAATCCTACAGTATGTAATCTAACTTTGTAATCTAAATTGCTAAGTTTGAAGTTTGTATATTCTACCATGCGTTATTTGTATCATTGGGGTTTTCATTAAAATTTGCTGAAATTTGTATTTAGTGTACATAATAGTTTACACTTTTTGGTATGTTCGCTATATTTTCATTTCAAGTATTTGTCAGTATACCTATGGTGGTGGGTATCCAAAGTTAGACCCGGTCGAACTTAACGCTTTTTCACTTGTTTATATTTCCTTTAAAGGCACCCCTCAGAAAAATTTAAAATGTTCACCATAGGTATAACTTAGTATCCTGAACCCAAGATATGGGTCTCAAAATTTCCGAAAATCACAACATTTTGCTTAACTCTATATTGGTAAAAACTATCAGTTTTCTTTTGAAATTTACAGAAGTAGGTGTTTTAACCCTTATAATGGAGATATAATTTTTTCTTGGAGTACGTATCCGGTTGATTGACCTAGAAGTTCAGGTACAGGTACCCGGTTTGGACCCCGATTTTTTGAAAAAGTCAACCTAGGGTCCATTATAGTCTTACCATTCCTGACTGAAATGATAGACTACAATTTATCCTTTCCAAAAACAAGGAAATTCGTTGACGTAGCCGAAGGCCGGCCAACCAAAAATCTATTATATTTAAAAGGAGGTTATTTCGCGTATCCGGTGTTGGTATCTGTCCATATTAGAAAATCTCAAATCGCCGGCCGATGGCCGGTCATCCCAAAAACTATTCTATTTAAATGGAGATTCTTTCGCGTATCCGGTGTTGGTATCTGTCCATAGGAGAAAATCAAAAATCCCCAGCCGATGACCGGCCATCCCAAAAATCTATTTTATTTAAAAGAAGATTCTGTCGCGTATCCGCTACTGGTATCTGTTCATAGAGGAAAACAAAAAATATTTTATTGAAAAGGAGATTATGTTGCGTAGCCGGTGTTGGTATTTCTCCATAATAGTAAGAAATCTTAAATTCCAGCCGAAAACCGGCAGTCCTTAAAAATATTACATAACAGGGTATTTGACACCTAAAAGTGACAATGCGTAGCCAAAATTTGCACCATAAGAGAAATCTTAAATCCCGGTCAAAAAGGTAAATTAAGAGAAATCTTAAATCCCGGTCAAAAAGGTAAATTTTTGAATGAAATTGGGGCATTTTTGGAGTCTTGTATTTCGGGAAGTATACTTCTGTCCTCGCCTATCTTCGCCATTTAAAGTACAAAGTACTGCTTTTATATTTTAGTTTAATTATTTGTAAGTTAGGTTGATTTAGGTTTGCAGAATCTACACATAACTTTATTTCAAGGATTCAATTATTTCCTCACAGTGAATAGATTGCATATTAGGATCCTTTTCAGTTTTCATTAGATCGTTCGATCAAAAACGTACATGATTAATTTCCATATATGTTCATTACAGACAAAAATGAATTGTTGTCGGCGAAAAACTTTTTGGAGCAGGCTGCCGAAAGTAATTTACCGGAATTTCTAAAGGCATTGTCCGATATACTGGTCACTGTCACCAACAGCCCTGTGGCTCGTATGGCAGCTGGTCTGCAATTGAAAAATCATTTGACCAGTAAGGATGAGACCATTAATTTACAATATCAACAGAGATGGCATCAATTCCCCGAAGCCACAAAGGAGTACATCAAGAAGAATGTAAGTAAAGAAAAATTAATTTTTGCTACTTTAGTTTTTATTCTAATTCGATTTACGATTTATTCATAGATTCTTGATGCTTTGGGTACAGAAAATACCCGTCCCTCCTGTGCTGCTCAATGTGTTGCCTATGTGGCTGTTGCCGAATTGCCCATTAATCGTTGGGGCATGCTTATACAGACATTGGTAAATAAGGTTGTAAATGCCGGTTCCAGTGAAATGGATCGTGAAGCTGCTCTGGAAGCTATCGGTTATATTTGCCAGGATATTCGTTATGGTGTTTTGGAAAATCAATCGAATCAAATATTAACCGCCATTATTCATGGCATGCGAAAACAAGAACCTAGCAATCATGTACGTTTGGCTGCTACAACGGCTTTGTTAAATTCCCTGGAATTCACAAAGGCCAATTTTGAGAAGGATGTGGAACGTAACTATATTATGGAGGTGGTCTGTGTGGCAACCCAATCGCCAGATACTCAAGTGTGTGTAGCTGCTCTGCAGTGTTTGGTTAAGATCATGTCATTGTATTATCAATATATGGAACCTTATATGGCACAAGCTTTGTTCCCCATTACATTGGAGGCAATGAAATCGGAAAACGATCAAATTGCCCTGCAGGGTGTTGAGTTCTGGTCTAACGTGAGTGACGAAGAAATAGATTTGGCCATTGAAAATCAAGAAGCCAACGATGCCGGTCGTCCCCCCACTCGTGTTTCTAAACATTATGCAAGAGGTGCTTTGAAGTTTTTGGTTCCCGTTCTGGTGGAGAAGCTTACAAAGCAGGATGAATGTGAAGATGAGGATACCTGGAGTCCAGCCAAGGCTGCCTCTGTGTGTCTCATGCTTTTGGCCACCTGCTGTGAAGATGAGATTGTGCCTCATGTATTCCCCTTCATTAAGGATAATATTGAATCGGCCGATTGGCGTTTCCGTGATGCTGCTGTCATGGCATTTGGTTCTATATTGAGTGGTATTGAAGCCAATACTTTGAAATCGTTGGTAGAGCAGGCTATGCCAACACTTATTCGTTTAATGTATGATCAAAGCGTTAATGTTCGCGATACAACAGCCTGGACATTTGGACGTATTTGTGATGTAAGTGGTGGGATATTCTCAAAAAATAAAATAATATTTACTAAATTTTATATTTGTCTATATTTTCTTTTAGATTATTCCCGAAGCAGCCATCAACAAGACCTATTTGCAGCCTTTATTGGAATGTTTCATTCAAAGTTTGAAGGCCGAACCACGTGTAGCAGCCAATGTTTGCTGGGCATTCATTGGTCTATCAGATGCCGCATATGAAGCTGCTGAAGGTGGCGAAAGTGAAACACCCGAAACCTATTGCCTTTCGCCATATTTCGAATATATCATTACACAACTGTTGGAAACCACTGATCGTCAAGATGCCAATCAAGGAAATTTGCGTGCTGCCGCCTATGAGGCTCTTATGGATATGATCAAGAATTCTCCATTGGATTGTTATTTGATTGTACAGCGTACAACCATCGTGATTTTGGAACGTTTGAATCAAGTTCTACAAATGGAGACACACATTTCCAGTCACAATGATCGCCATCAATTCAATGATTTACAATCTCTGCTCTGCGCCACACTTCAGAGCGTATTGCGTAAGGTGCGTGAAGATGATGCACCACAAATTTCCGACGCCATTATGACTGCTCTGCTAACCATGTTCAGTTCAAGCTCCGGCAAATCGGGCGGTGTTCAAGAGGATGCCTTCTTGGCGGTATCTACATTGGTCGAGTTATTGGGATTGAAATTCGTCAAGTACATGGATGCATTTAAGCCATTCTTGTACATGGGCCTGAAGAATCACCAGGAATATCAAGTGTGTTGTGCAGCAGTAGGCCTAACTGGTGATATATGTCGTGCTCTCAAACAACTCATTATTCCCTACTGCGATGAAATAATGAATCTCCTTTTGGCAAATCTGTCTGAGCCAACATTACATCGTAGCGTCAAGCCGCAAATTTTGTCGGCATTTGGCGATATGGCTCTTAGTATTGGTGGTGAATTTGTAAAATATTTAAATGTCGTCTTGGAGATGTTGAGAGCCGCATCACAATTGGAGGTATGTAACACTTTTTATGGCAAATTTTTTTTAATTCATTATTTTTTTATTTAAATTCCAAGAATCGAGTTTTGATATTGTTTTTGAGAATTTGAATAAATTTTAAATCGATTTCAATTTCCATTTTACTACAGGTTGATCCCAATAGCTATGACATGGTTGAATATTTGAATGAATTGCGTGAAAGTGTCTTGGAAGCCTATACCGGCATCATTCAAGGTTTGAAAGGCGTTGAAAAAACACCCCACCCAGATGTCTTCCATTTGGAACCACATTTGGGACACATTCTTATGTTTATTAAACGTATTGCTGCCGAGGGTGATAATCCCGATTCAATGATTGCCAGTGCTGCTGGTTTTATTGGCGATTTATGTTCGGCATTTGGACCCCGCCTATTACCATTGGTGGATAATGCCACCGTTACACAATTCTTAACCGAAGGCAAACGTTCAAAATCCAGCCGTACAAAGTCACTGTGTAATTGGGCCTTGAAAGAAATCAAGAAATTGCGTGATCAACAACCAATAGCTCAGTAAATTGAAGTGAAGTTCATATTTTAGAAAGGGAATTTACGCCGATGTTGATGCTCACATCGAACATCGTTTTAAATGAAAATGGTAAGTTGTAGAATTTTGTTCTATTTTTAAAACAATATTTTTTTCGTCAAATGATTTTTCTGGCAAATATAAAAAAATACAAATATACAAAAAGAGGACTTCTTCATAGAAATACTAACTCTTTGTACAAAAATTCAAGATATTTCATTTATGATGACAAGAGTAAATGACTACCGATGGGATCTCCAGCATCACCGATTATTGCACATATAGTAATTTAGGAGTTATTGGACGCTTCTATTCAGAAATTGACACACAAATCAAAAGTAATTACCAAATATGTGGACGAATTATTCTGCATTGTAAAAAAGAACAGAAATTGACAACACTTTAAACATCTTCGACTCACTCGATAAACATGTACAATTTACACACGAAAGAGAAGAAGACTATATTTTGAGGCAATAATAATTCGACAAGGCCAAATAAAAAAAAAGAGAACAAAATTCTGGATTTTATTTAACTTAAAGCCGAAACAAATCCAACAAGAAAAAAGTTAAAAACCAGTGAGCGGAGTAGTATATTCGAACGGGGCCGACCATACGATACCCTACACAACTACCACGGAACTATAACTTTCTGCGGGCTTTTTATTCCGAGGTCAACAGCACCTCTTCCTTACACTGACATATTTTCCGAATATTACTAATATTCAGTACAGTCCATCTATGTTCGGCTTATAAGTGCGGCCTATAGGTCGGCTCGAAAGAAAAACACAAAACATACGTTTTCGGTCCACTTCATCCCAAAATTATTATCTGACCATCACCGAAAATTATAGGCGTTGTCCTTGACCATACCTGGATCCTCATGGAAAATTTCAAAGCGATCAGCGCTATATTTCCGCCCTCTACGTGGCAATGGGTTACTAAATAATATCTGAATACGTAAGCACATGTAAATATTTAAGTGTAACTCCCACATCCGAGTACATATGACAATATAATTGGTATCATTTTAACGGTCAACAACTTTGGATATACTATCAACTTCTCGGGTCTATGTTCTTTAGGAGTAAATATATTCGCCATAGAATACATTTTTTTTATTTTTTCACACACCGCTAAATATTGACCGATCTTTATGAAAACAGTTATGTTTATTCTTTGGCCAGAAAATCTGACAAAAATTAAGTATTTGGTCCATTTTATCCCCTAAAAATTAACCGATCTTTACCATAAACAATAGGGGTCTTCATTAACCACAACCAATCCTACATGTACAATTTCGTGAAGATATGTCCATAACTGTGGCCTGTATCGTGTTTACAAATTATAATGGACAGACGGACGGACACACATGTCTATATCGACTCAGCTATTCGAGATATGACGATCGGTATGCTTAAAGGTAGATCTAGGACCAATATTTCGCGGCGTTACAAAATTTTGGGGCTGCACAAAGCTATAATACCCTGATAACATAGTTGTGTATGGTATACAAATAGAATTTCATGTCGAGTTGGCCATGTTCGTGTGCTGTGGATAGAAATCGCTATATTTAAGATTAAGCTTTGGAACTTTGCACTACTCCTAGCATAGATGTCTATATTATGACATAAAGAACCCGACTTATTTTAGAATGCATTTTCTGAATGAAAATATAAATCGGTCGGCAATGCTGACTGGTGCTTTATTACTTATTTTACACTAACCTCTATTTTAGGAGAGAATATAAACGATTTGTGAATTATTTGTCTTTCAAAAAATTCAATTTGAAGCTTCAAAGGCCGATTTTAATTTACGTTCGGCTGATCCGAATCGTTAATATTCAATACAATTTATAACTTTTAATTAAAATTTTATTTATCATTTCTTTTCTTTCTAGCAAAAATCCCCATGTTCCCCCACCCCCGCCCTATTACACTTACATAATAATTATTTTTCGCAATTAAGGTAAATCAACGAAACAACAACAACAATAACCTACATACAACAAAAATGGCTTCGTTCAAATTATTTTTTTCTAATTTTGGTGTGCCGCCGAGTATTTACTACGAATCGAAATATAAATCATCCAAAGGTGCATTGTTTTCTTTTGTGTATGTATATGTATTAAAAAATTATTCATATTATTTTCCTTCAAATTTCCATTTTTTTAAGAGAAACGCTCATAATATATTAAATTGTAATTTTTGCATTATAATGACTAAGTCAAGATTTTCATATTGAAGCCTTGTTGCTTTTCAACGTTTCCCCAAAATGATTTAATTAAATTATTATATATTGTTTTGTTATTTCCTCTAAAACTTAATTTATTGAAAAAAAAATATCTTAAAAACAACAATAACTACAAAGATCTTATAAAAAATGAATGTACTCATTTAGTGTTTAGTTTCTCCTTTCTTTCCCCCCTATGAGCATTTTCTCTAATTTAAAAAAAAAAATTGGTTTATAAATAGTAATTATATATTTAAAAAAACTACAACAATACTAGAAAAGAAATAACCCAACACACTGTATACACAAACCATTATTATTATTTTTTTTTTTTTATATAAAACATACATTTGTTGTTTTTAGTTTATTTAATAATTAAAACAAACAAAAAGATAATAGGCATTTTCCCGCTTTTCACTTATAAAACCATAAACACCACAACCACCCCCTCCCCTAAACAACAGTAATATATTTTTAGTTCTTAATTATTTTTATATAAATACAATTAGTTTTCATATGAAAAAAAATTATCGTAAACCATTTTTTCTTTCTTTTTTCAAAATCCAAATTAAAATTTTTCATCTATGAATTAGAGAAAATCTTTTAAAAAATATTTTTTTTAAATTATTTTTAGAAACTAAACATATTTTGAAATTATTTATATACAGTATGTAAAGAGGAGGGTTTCATATACTTGAATATATTTTTTCCGATTTACTTAATTTAAAAATTGCAAAATTCTATAATCCTACATCATTTCTTAATCTTCTCTCTTCCACTTACAATATTTCCATTTTTTTTTCAAATGGATTTCAATTTCAACCCTTTTTTACATACTGTATAAATATATATAATTTCAATTTATTTTTTTTTATTTTTTGAATACCATAAATAAGTAAATGAAAAATTTAGCTTAAAATCTTTAGGAAAAATTATTCAAAAACAAAACACATTTTCAAAACGAAAAAAAAAAAATTAAAAAACCCCAAAAAAAAGAAAAAAAAAAACACAGTTAGTCTATAAGAAACACATAATTTTTCACAATGTGTGCATGAATATTTTGAGTGAAATAAAACGTGAATTGCTGTAGCATGATGTGAGAATTGAAAACCACAATACAAAATACCAATGAATGAAATGTATATGCTGTGCATGTGAGTTTATTGAGTGAGAGAGAGCGAGAGAGTAAGTATGCATTTTCTACTCTAGTGGTGTGCCTGTGATGAGAATGCGTATATTTTTTTTCTGCATGTGAGAGAGATGATTGTCTGAGTATATATGAATTTATTATTTATAAGTATGATTGTGTGATAATGTATTTTTAATAAATATTGTAATAATTTGTATGAATGTGAAGAAAATAATTCCGAGTGAATGGAGAAATGGACAAATAGACATTGTGGCTTAGAGGAATTTGTGGAAACAATTTCGTTAAGAACTTTAAAAATCAATAAGACACAGATCTCTGGAATTTATTGCAGTCATAGAAGAAAGAAGAAGAAAAAATTGGGAAATTTGAATTAGCAATTTTGTTATGAATTGTGAATAGTCTCAATTTCAATTTATTTCATATACGAGAATCTAGCCCAAGAGCGATTCAAAAAACAACAATTTAAATTCCGGGTATAATTTCTAAGCCTTGTTGTCTATCCATAAGTGTGAATGTTGAATTTGAAATCTTTTCTCCCCCGGGTATGTATGTATGAATGGACTAATAAAATATAATTTGGTTCTAAAAAAATTATAAAGAAATTTGAATTAAAAAAAAAAAACAACTTTTTTTAACACCAACCCCCTATTTTTGATAATTTTTTTTATAATTCATGATTATTATTTTGTTGTCCCACTGTCTATCCGCCTTAATCTAACTACATACTTGTTTGAATCACTAATAAAATATAATTTGGTTCTAAAAATTTTATGAAAAGAATTTGAATTAAGAAAAAAAAACTTTTTTGAACACTCCCCTATTTTTGATAATTTTTTATAATTCATGATTTTTTTTTTTTGTCCCACTGTCTATCCGCTTTAATCTAACTACATACATGTCCGAATGACTAATAAAATATAATTTGGTTTTATAAAGAAATTTGAATTAAGAAAAAAACTTTTTTGAACACTCCCTACTTTTGTTAATTTTTATCATTCATGATTATTATTTTTTGTCCCACTGTGTCTATCCGTCTTAATCTAACTACATAGATGTCTGTTTATTCCTCCCCAATAATATTGAATAATATAACTTTTATCCGTTTATTTTATATATTTTTTTCAAGTGTGAATGTGTGTGCAAGCTAATTATTATTTTGTTATAAATAATAATTAATTTAATTTTTGGTTTGTTTGTGTCAAACAAATTGATTTCAAATACTTTATGATTGAAGACTTATTATTGCGCGCGTGCGTGCTTGTGTGATATTAATTGTAAGTTAAGTTTAAATGAGAATAAAAAAAAACACTTTAGATTTTAAGAATTTGCAACCAACAAGAAACATTAAACTAGCTCAAAGAACAAAATAAAACAAAAAACCCAAGAACAACAAATACAATAAAGGATTTTAAACGGATTTGAAATTCGCCAAACTAAAAAAAATGTAATGAATTTGAAACAAAAAACTTAAAAAAAAATAATTTTTCTATAAAAAAACAAATGTTGTAATGCAACTTAAAAACAAAACAAACATTTAACAAAACATACAATGAAACACAACATTTATGTATAAAAACAACATACAACTGTTTTGTTTTTTTAATTTTACACACATATACAAATATATTTTTTTATTATTT